ATAAAATATTATATTTATCGATAAAACAATTTCTTTTTTAGACAAAACCATAAAACTTTATTAGCGTAAGGTTTTGATGCAAATAAATATCTGAACTTCACTTCTTCAATGAATTTCGTTAACGATATTGTTAAAATGTATCCTTGTTTAAAAAGTTTGTTTAAGATTACAATTACTTTTGCTAGAATTAATTTGTTAGATTAATTTAGATTCATAAAAAAATTAAGTCAAGTTAGGTTTCGTTAAGTAAGTAATGTTTTTAAAGTTATACTCCTCCAGTTTAATTTTTTTCTTATGAGTATGTTTTTATGATAATGTTTCTACCGATTTTACTCAAATACTTTTGTATGTTTACTTTTGTATTTTGCAATGTAAAATTACATTCGTTAAAATGATGTAAAAAATTGCATACTTTTATATTAATTTTATATTTATGTAAATAAAAAATAATTACAGTCAACAATTAGAATGTTATTGAATCAAAGTCTAAATTGAAAATAATAATTGTTCTTTATTTACAATAGGAAATCATTTACCAATTTATACATTTTGAACTTGTAAATAGGGCAAATTTAATCAATGTTCAGACATTTAGATTTCTGAAATTAAGAATTGTATTCATAATTTCTGCAAAAAGTATGCTAACCCTCTCGCTGCGTTTTATGAAAATACTTTTAAAAATTGTGTTTTTTTTTATTATAAATTTCAAATCTACATATATTTTAGAATTAAAATATTCGAAAAATGTTTTCAAAAGAATTTTTCTTTTTAATTTCGAATAAGATTATAAGGAATAAGGCTGTCGGAAATTGAAAATTAAAGAAAAATCATATAACAGCAAAATTAATCTTGGTGAAATTATGATATATTTTATGAAATACGAAGGTAAAACTTATCTACAAATAAAATAAAGCAAAATAGTTACAAAACATTTATTAGAAATTAAGTTTAATATGATAAAATTCGAAACAGGGTTCAAGGCAAAGTCCTGCCTTGCAAATTTAGCCCTAAATTTGTGTTACCTTGCAATTTTTTGCTGTTGCCAGGCATACTTTTTCAAGCAACAAACAGCACATTTGAAAAAACCGCGTAAACTGTTTTAAAATAAGCTTATATAGTTCACAAAATATGGACAACTGACGCTATCTGTTAGCGCAGATCTAAATAAACAATTAAACATCACAGAAAAGGTGAAAGGAAACCATGAACGGGAAAAGAGCGGGTTTCACAGTTAAATGAAATGGTACGGGGAAATCGAGAGATATACAACTAACGAGTTTGAAATTTTCTCAAAATACCTATTACAACAATAAAACTACTTGAAATCTAAAAACAATCAATAAATCCTTTTTTAGTAAAGAGAAACCTAAATTTAGTGATTTTTGAGATTCTAAAACTAGCACGACTATGAAAAATTTATTTAAATTTTCCACTTTTAGTATTTTTTGTTTAACGAAATAAGGCATTTGCCTGATAACACACTTATACCACAATAATATCTTGTGGTCAGCTAATTTTTTATAATTCTGAGACTTGAAAAAGAACGTGACAATTATTTAGAACGATAGTGTTTAAACAAAAACTTCAAATACTAATAAAAATAAAATGAAATAGATTAGTATATTGTCGGAAAAAAATCTACATAGTAGCTAAAAGAATGAGAATTTGAAAAATGCAAAATTATAATGAAATAATTGGTTGAATAGTTCTATGAATCACGCGTGGCCAGGTAATTCAATTTCAAAATTATGACATTAAAACAATATATTAGATATTGAGATATTTTAATACTCTTAAGAATTTTGGCTTTATGGGTTATTTTGGTTTAAAAATACGCCTTTTTTGGTGTACAGTACAAAACAGACATTTTTTCCAGTTTTGAAATAAGGCTGTACTTATATTATCAGAATAGCAAGTACTTATTCTACTTATTCTATCAGAATTGTCATACAGATCTATGCGCAGCCAGTGCTCTCCATCGTTTTAATTTACTTTTCATTTTGTTTTTAAGTTGCAAAACCCGCCTAATTTAGCTAGATTTATCAATATTCATGTTAAATTGCATCTTTCGGGATTTCGCTTATCATTTTATACAATTTTCTTCCATTAGCATTTATAATCAATGTTTTCGTACAGTTTAATTTAGTTAGCATTTTATATATATTGACTTTTAGGATGTTGTTCTTAAAAAAAAAAGAAAAAGAATTTTTTTAGAACGCATTAACTCGTGGTCTTTCATTTGCCTTATTGTCTTTTAATGATGTAAGTTTAAATATATTTGCCGTGCAACCATATATAGTTCATGCATATCATTTTCTAACATTAACAAGATTATTTCGTATTACAGTTAAGTCTTTCAAGAGCTATTTGCTGATTGATCGACATTATGAAGAATATTCTAACATGTTTCCTTTATGTGCTTTTTTCAACTGCCGGAGGAGAAGACATTCTGAATAGGTCTCCCCATATTATTCTAATATATGCGGATGATATGGTAAGTCTCATGATTCAATTTTCTTAAAATAAATAATTAAAGAATATAGCTAATTATATACACACACACGTTAAGATGTTCTTGGCATAATTTTATAGATTTTAAACACTAGATACTAGGATCCAGTTATAGCATTGAAAACTGGGGAAAATTTTAGGTACGATATTTGGCTTGCTGCTAATAAGAGTTTTGGACATCATAGCCTTAGTAACATTCTAATTTTGTTATAATAGGACCAATATTCACGAATGTTGATTGTATAAAGAGCTAGGGAGTCCGCCACACTCCAATATTTTGTCTAGATAAGATTGTTCACAACTCACCCGATATTTTATAGCCTTTAATTATGCAATATTAAGCGTACCAAGAATGGCGGAAATAAGCCTGCATTTTTCCGCGACTATTTAGCCTAAATAGGGCTTATGTACAACTGTCCGATCCTAGTTATCTCCATTGAGAGAGCCGTGGTGGTTTAGAGGATACAGCATTCATCTTCCAATGAGGTGAACCGAGTTCGAATCCCAGCGATGACTGTTTGATAAAAATTCCACAACCGGCTTGTACCGATCACAGTGCTGACATAAAAATATCCTCAGTGGTACACGGATCATGAGTTAGATTCCCCTTGCCATCAGGCTGAACGTGGGAGGTTTTCTTCTCTGTGTAACGCAAGTACGGGTTAGTTCTATCAAAAAGTCCTCCACGGAGGCAAATTTCTTCCAATATTTGCTTCAGGAGTTACTTTGTCTTCTGAACTGGGTTCAAAATTACAAGGCTACGGAGTTGAACATTGGTATAGTCGTAAACTCAAGATTGGGTCGGCTGTTCAACGATGGTTATAATATTATAAGACTTCCATTGAGGTAAAATCTTGGCCTCACGATGCATTTTAATTATTCGATGCATTATAATTTAATTATTAAATTATTCGGTGCGCGATTAGTAAGAGTGCTGATTCTCTAATACTACACCATTTTTACACCGAAGAGCCATTACATTATGACCACCCTGCTGATAACATGTAGGACCACCTTAAGCCCTCAAAACTGCTAGCACCCGCCGTGGCATTGAGTCCCCAAGGTGCTGATAGGTAGTCTGAGGTATCTGGTACCAAGCGCTCACCAACTGGTCCTGCAATTCCTTCACATTGCGAGGGGGTAGCGTGGCAGCACGAATTTGGTTTTCCAAGTAGAACCATCAATGCTCTATTGGATTAAGGTCAGGTGAATTTGGGGGCCAAGACATGACTTGAAAGTCACTGGAATGCTCCTCGACGATTCGACCCTTATGACATGGTGCATTATCCTGTTGGTAAACACCATCACCCGCAGGAAAAACTGCTGCCATGAATGGGTGAACCAGGTCTGCAACTATGTTCAAATAGCTTACAGACGTCAGGGATTGTTCTATGAGGATTATGGGACCTAATGTGTCCCATGAAAACATTGTTCCTGGGCGAGAAACCATAAAAATCTGGGTGAGCCCATTGTTATAGATGGAGGGTGGTCATAATGTAATGGCTATTCGGTGCATATTATTTTTATATCATGATAATGAATTGCCTCCGATATTTGAAGTACTACGAGCAAAGCTTAAACATTATAACTTAGGGGCTTCTTTTGTTGATTGGTTTCGCCATTCTGCCAAACATTCTATTGTGGGATCTTATTCTACCGATCTCCTGCATACATCTTCGTGATGTCTTTTTTTTTTAAGCGTGTAAGCGTGTGTGTCGAACCTGATTGGCTTCTGAAAGACAAATGCCATGATTTATTTACGGCGACGTCGCTTGCAGGCTTCCAAGAACGGAGTTACAATAAGATCTTACTTGCCACAAAGTGTAAATTAGATACTTGCACCACGCGACGACACGCGTTATGTCACCTAATGAGGTTCAATACATACACGTGACTTCGCTTGCAAGTATTGAACTAGCTCTGATCGGGAAATTGATTCAGCATTGTAATAAACTTAAGTTTTAAAGCTGCAACGTTAACATTCCGTGCACAAAAACTTGATTAGATACAACCATGTGATTAATTGCAAGTACTTGGGTACAAAACATTTGGCGAACAATCAGTAAGAGCTTCGATTCTTTAAAACTATGTTACATATAAATCATTTTACACATTAGGACGACAAGTTGCGATATTTGCGGCGCTATTAGTAGAGTTTTTAATATTGTACGTTATTTCTGTACCTTTCTCAATGGCAAACCTTTATAGGATCTTAAATGCCGCAGAATGTAAATTCGTATTTTGTTAAACGGTTCCCTGTAACAAAAGGCCTACATTTTTTCCCTAAACTTAATTTACAATTATTTCAAGCAATTTTCTGAAAACAGACGACTGAAGAAAATAAGTACAGGTGACAGAATATGTTAATGGAATCAAGTTTTATGAAGGAAATTATAGTAGTTAACTACGTCGAGAAAAGTGAAATTTAATGAAGATAAATATTTAATATTTTGCTTACTTTATTATGTATCAAATATTTAAAGAATTAATACTGTGTCCAAATATAATTTATTAACTAAATTAAGTTTACAGAAATAATCGATTAAATGTATGTATTGACACAAACGCTAGTTTGATAATAAATTTTTTCTTCATATATTTCGTTTTATTTTAGCCTCTAAAACATAACTATAACATTGACTTCGTTAAAATATACATATTTTCCCCTAGGGATGGAATGATGTGAGTTTCCATGGATCTCCAGAAATTCCGACGCCTAACATAGACGCCTTGGCGATGAATGGTATTCTTTTGAACAACTACTATGGAGAAACTATGTGCACCCCCTCAAGAGCATCTCTTCTCACTGGAAAATATCCTATTAGATTAGGTAAAATAAAATTATATTATCATAATAATAACATTTACCACATCATCGTCGTAATAAGTTTCACTAAATTATGTGGACGGTCAATCATTGGCCAGATATGAACAGTTATTCACGATCGCAACGTTGGAATACGCCATTTGGGGAGAGGACCAATTCCATGTCTTGACACTCCCCCTCCCACCTTCTCACTTGCATGGGAAAGTTCTACGATATCTTTCCTCTTTCGTATTTAATTGCCAAAAATATTTTCCAAAATTTTCCACGGCGTTTTCTTTAAGAACTATATTTAATGCAGTTTGGAATTCTATATAATTTAATAACTAAAAAGTTTTTAACTGTATTTGAAAATCAAGACAATTAGCGTACTTCTTTCTCTCACAACTGTATTTGAAAATCAGGACAGAAATTAACGTACTTCCTTTTCCCACAACTGTATTTGAAAATCAAGACAGAAATTAATGCTACTTCCTTCTCCCACAACTGTATTTGAAAATCAAGACTGAAATTAACGTACTTCCTTCTCCCACAACTGTATTTGAAAATTAAGACAGAAATTAACGTACTTCCTTCTCTCACAACTGTATTTGAAAATCAAGACTGAAATTAACGTACTTCCTTCTCCCTTTACTATATTTGAAAATCAAAACTGAAATTAACGTACTTCCTTCTCCTACAACTGTATTTGAAAATCAAGACAGAAATTAACGTACTTCCTTCTCCCACAACTGTATTTGAAAATCAAAACAGAAATTAACGTACTTCCTTCTCCCACAACTGTTCCCACGCTTATGGAGAAAGTGTGTATGTTGTGTTGCCATATATATAGAGAATTCTGCTCTATGCCACCTTAAGCCTATTTCGATAGCAAATAACGAAAACACATCTTTACGCTGTAGCACACAATATCATGTATTATGACTGATTAAAGAAATAATATGGGAAGCAAACATATTAAAGTAACTTACAGGCTCTCAGTCAAAAAAGAACATGTCGTAAATCTGCAGAACGTTTTTTTAGGTTTTTATTTAAGAATTCTGCAGATTTTTTGTTTTCGAAGACAAGAAAATATCTGCATTTTTTAAAATTTAATTTGCAGAAAAAGTCCTCTTTATGATATTCTTTAAACCATTTGTATAAGAGCAATAAACTAGGATTTTTTCCTATAATTCAATGTAAGGTTATGTGATTGTCTTATCTGAGTTTAAACTTTCTTACTTAATTACTTATCTGTGGATTTCTTTAAGGTTAAACTGCAGTTCTAGAATACTAGTATTTATAAATATGCAGTCATCAATATTTAGAATTCCATGGGATTCAACCGATACTTAAAAAGAAACTATTTAAAATGTTCAAACAAAGATAAAGCATACTGTACGACGTATGAATAAAGCAAATCAAAGTGAATAAAGCACAAATAATGGCAAGGTTCTATCAACAAGAATTTTCTAAGTGACTAAACGCAGAAATTTTGTGTTTTGACACTAAGAAAAATTTTCTCTCTCTATCTCTTACAAAAATGCTCCTGTTTTTTTTTATTTTTTTATTATTTATTCATTTTGAAACATCGTTTTCACATGCAAGTTAAATTCCTGAATTTTTTTTTAATGCTAAGATAAAGAATTTTGCATGCTAAGATTACTACTACCCATTCAAAATAGTATTTTTTCTTAAAAAAAAAACTTCATCAATTGACAACCGCTTTGTCACATCGCATCCAAAATTAAGTTTTTAAAAATGGCTATACTGAACTAGGTGATATAGCCACTACAACGAGCGATTCGATCGAATGGCTCACACATTCCTGTCGGTTTGTTATCCAAGTATATATGGTAATTTGCTTGAATATCCATTGATTATTAACAATAACCAGCTCTTTTGGTAAACGTGATAAAAGCATACTAATCATATTGCCCGGTATATAGTTCCCCCCTCTTCCTTATGTTAAGGGGTTTTCAAGGTTAAGGTACATTGCTTGGTATTCCCTACACTCATATTTTTCCTAAGAATAATCCATTCCCATTGATTTGGTGTTTAGAATTGAAAAGTTCACCGCTTGCTCTATTTGCTTGAACTAGAAATAGGAATGGTCATGATTTTTTAATGTTAGCAAGCAGGAATATTTTAAATCTTTTTTCAGGGAGAATTTTTTAAAAAAATGTATTGGTTTTTAAAAATTTCAGGTCTGCAGCACAGTGTATTAAAACCAGGAGAAAAAAGTGGCCTACCACTAAAAGAGATAACGTTATCTCAACACTTGAAATCATTGGGTTATTCTACTCACATGATTGGGAAGGTACATATTATTCCTCCTTTAAATAATTAGTTTTCAAGTTAGCAAAATTATGAACTGATTATTGGTAAAAAACATATGCTGTTACCTTTCAGACATAAATTATTTATTCTTTATGGAAAAAAATATGTATTGTTTTATGAAACCTATCTATAATTATGACATTTGTATAGAAAAATTTATTCAAAATTTTAAATTTCTTTAAAAAATTTATTAATTATGAAATATACGTAAATGAACAAAAGCGAAAACGTTAAAGTGATTATGTTAAATAGCCGAGATTTATAAATTACTATGCTGCTAAAAAATATAAATAAAATTTAAATTTATTCTTACATGGGGAAGTTTCCAAACAATGAATCTATCAAAATTTAAAAATTTATTGAAATATAATTTTATGTAAAATATTTGACTTAACAAACAATATACAGTCAAAGTTGCTTCAGAAACTGTCACAAAAATAAACATGGTTCTAAAGTTGAATATTAAAGTGCAATGTATTTAACAAACTAGTGATGGAGAGACTGTCTATGACTTGCTGATGAGACATGATCTTCTGGACTTGGTCAAGGGCTCTAGACCAAGGGGATAAGCAACAACAACAACAGTTGTAATATTCGTAAGAATATTTTTCTTCTTCCTCTTCCTTGCAAAATAGACGCGGGCGGATCTTTTACTCTAACCGAAATCCATATTTTTGTAGTTGTTTTACAAAAGCTCCTGATTTATTGAGAGTTTCGAATTTTATTAAAATAAACTTATTCCTCTTAAAACCTAATGTTTATGTCTCGCTTACATCACTTTTATAGTTTAGCTGGTAAATGAAATATACATTTCCTATTTTAATATTTAATTTTCTTTTTGTGATCAGCATACTTATTATGGAAAAGTATCTTATTAAATAAAAATTATTATTTAATACTTTAAAATCAATCTGAATGATATAACTTCAAAGTTTAAAAGAAAAGATGCCATGCATACTTTATTCTATATGGAATAAAACTTGCATGATACTCATTGAAAGGAATAATCTCACACATTTTAAGCTTATTCCCAGGTAATAACAAGATGGCTGTTTGCACAGTAGGTAAATTATTCATCTGAATTACTGCTTTGTGCTCATTATGCCTAGCAGTATGGATGTAATCACTAAACCATTTTTTTATACAGTTAGATAAATAAATTTTTGAGTAATTGAAAAGTAACAAAGAATATTTCAGGGTTTTACAGCTAGACTGAAGCATGCTTTGGCATGACATATACACACACGCAGCATAACAAAAAATGTGAAAACATTATTTTTTAAAGTTACTATCATTGATTCTTTCTACACAAAAAATTCATTTCTTGTTGCATATTATTCATATAATTAAATATTTGTTAAATAAAATATACAGTTTTAAAATTTATAAAATTTCAAATTATGTTTATATGACATGACCATAATTTGGCTTCTCAGTGATAGATTTTTATTTTAACGGAAAATCTTGCTGCGTGTTCAAATTGCTTAAACTATTTGATTATGCTGATTGAGATTTAATGTAATAGACATTTTTAAAATCCTTAGCTTGACATAAAATAATGTAAAAATTTATTTTTTATTTTAGTGGCATCTTGGATATATGACAAAAGAATATACTCCAACATATAGAGGGTTTGATTCATTTTTCGGTTACTACAACGGTTTGCTAGATTACTATGATTATACCTCACAAGTTATAACTGAACTTCCTGATATACGGGTAAGTATGCATAATTTTACGTTACGAAAAGTTACATACTTTATGATCCCAAAAATAAGGCTTACATTAAAGAAAGAAGGGATAAAATAGAAGAATACAATTTAGTGAGTTCTGCTTAGGGAAGAAATTAATATTTCTATCAGAATTCAAATTTTACCAATTCTACTATCAAAATTAGTTAATTTAATTAATAAATTTTTTTTAAATCAAAATTTGTTACGAAGTTATACAAAAAATGGTGTTTCTAAATGTTAATACAATAATAATGTGTTCAAATTTGCAACAATTTGCTGCCACAATGTTGCAACCATTTGCTGCCAAATTTGCCACAATGTTGTGTAATTTGAAGAAAAATTTAACAGATGCTCGTTGTGAATACGTCAAATGAAATGGTATTCCATAAATTTTTTTCGACAGGATTTTAAGGATTTTATTTAGAAGGAAAGTATAAAATCGCCATTCTATTTATGAAGCCAAAGATGTTCAAATTTTCAGATTTTTTGTTGTTGATGTAAAACATCTCAAATCCCTTTTTACTTTGCCCTATGAAGTCATATTGATTAATGTTTTAATGCAATTTAATTATCTTTACTCATTATTATTATTAAATACGAAAACTGTTTTTAATTCATAATCATAATTTTGTGCTGACACAAATAATAATTTATGTCATTCAATTTTTATAAAATTTCCAAAAAAATACAAATTTAAATGATTAAGATTATTCAATGCATTGTATTAAAAGATATCACTTTTTATAATCTGAATATATGAAAGTAATTTTAAAATTTATGACCCGCCGGAGATTTCTCAATGAACCGTTAAATCACATGATATAATCTAGTTTTCTCATAAAAATCCAATTTTTTTTCCTAACATTAGCATGAATTTATTAAAGTACATTGAGGCAGTACCTTTCACCAAGTACCTATTACCAGGAATAA